ACTCACACTGACTGAAATTTACCCATGTGGATTTGTATTTCTGGGTGAAGTTTGGAATACCAGGAGGAAATATTGCAACTTTATACACACACAAAAAATATGTTTCTCATATGAATCTAGTGTATGCTTCTGAGATATATCATGAAAATCTGAGCAGCTTCTCTAACACAAGACAGCCCTTTCTTCTTCTAAATGAAGCCTTGCCCATTCAAGAGTAGGATCACAAAAAAAAAAAAAATTAAAAAAAAAAAAATCACAATTTGATTTTACTTTCATCCTAGTCACTAGGAACAGGAGAAAGCTCTTCAGGTTTCCAATAACTTTTCTGCTGCTTTGAAGTATAGCAAGTAGAGCAGCAATATTACATCCTTTTCTCTTCCTAAATAGATCCCCCACTTTAGCTTCCTTGGAGGTCAACTATTTACCAGTGATGACTATAGCTGGTGGAGAGAATACTTAACCCCAATTGCTCTTATGTGCCCAACAAGAATTCATCCACGTCAAGCCTGGAAAACAGGAGGGAAGGGAGAAACAACACTGAATAGAGATTTACTGTGTCAGTTTTTGAAAAGGAAAGATAGGAGAACTTTAACCTCCTGGGCTAAAGAGAAGAGGTCCATAAGCCAGAAGCAATTAGTGTCTAGCCCCAGAAGAAAGCAAACAGCTCTAGGGACTTTGTTTCTACAAGGCTACACAACAAGGACATTTCCAAACTCAAAGATCTCAACAGGTCAGAATGTTTTGGACATTATGGATTCCTACTTGCAATCTCTGGGTTTACCATGTCAATTATGTGTAGGTGTTTGCATACATAACTGTGTCAATATTGTGCAGCACCCTTAAAAGGACTTTGTGGCACCCTAGATGAGAATGACTGGGGTAGGGTAAGGTGGGGACCATTTAGTGTAAAAAGGCAGATCCTTGGGCTCGGAACCCAGTCTATTTTTCAAGGCTACTGATGCAACTATATGCTTGGACTATAGGTGGTTCCCTGTCAAAAGGCTCACCTATACCTCTCTTTCACGGATGGTAACATGGAACATAAGCATGGTAGAACATCTTTGGATGCACTCTCATTACCTTCCTGCGAAACAAGCAAATGGAAGTTGCCTTCGCTGAAACAAAGCAGAGATTCTCTGACAGAGGATGTGAAAAATGGGACTGAAGTGATCTGACAGAAGGTACTTCTCACACCAGAACCATTTAGTAAATACGCAGACAGAACACATTGCGGAAAAGTAGTTCAAACTCAAATCTGGAATCTACCTTGTTCACTTAAACAAGTGGCTCTCAACCTTATTTGATGCAAAATACCTCCATGTATGACTTTGTGAAATGAGCAGCACCAAAAAATAAATTTATTACAGTGCTTACCTCTTCAGAGGCACTGGGCAGTAGGGGTGGAGCAGAAGCCAGTGAGTCTGCACTTACCTTCCTGCACCTGCTCATCTCCTCACACCTCATGGCATCCTTCAAAAAGATCTCATGGCACCCCAGGGTGCTTCAGCACACTGATTGAGAATCACCGACTTCAACAAAGGGGTGGGGAGGAAAAAATCTTATACGCTTATTTTGTTTCCATCACTGCTTTAAATCAGAATATTTAAATTTACAAATTAACTCTTTAAAATTAGTTCCAGGAAAATATTTGAGGAGGAGGTAGAGAAAATTCATTAAAACACTTAATATTAAGAAACAACATTAAAAAGTGTATTAGGAAAAAAGACCCAAGTCCATACACACAGCGTGGTTCACAGGCTTGCTTACTCATTTTCTCCAGTAACAAAGAGGTGCACACTTTTGTCAGACTGCAGCATCTGAGCAGCACGCTCTATACCCACAACAGCAGCCAGTTTCTGCACATCATACTTTGAATAAAGAACAGTACATGTCCAAGTAGCTTCCTCTCCATTGTTAGTGGCCTTCATCATATTGCAGATCTCACTGTAGAAATGGGAGTATGTTGGTAGCTCATAGAAAATGAGATTTCTGATCCCTCGTATTGTGTATCTGTATTAAAAGAAAAAAGGTGTTGTCACAGTGACTGGTATCTGCTATCTATGCACCTATGAATGTGAAGCAGTATATTAGAGGCTTAATCTTGTGAAGCTCAGAGTTCTCACTGGAATCTGTAGGAACTAAGAGAATGGCCTTCAGCCTCTTGCATGCCTCAACTCAGAAAGTGAGTGCATCCACTTAAACCTAGGATGTTGTGACAACAGAACTAAGAGTCTAATCTTGCAGAAGGTGCCCAATACCTGCAAAGTGCTCAGCACCATCAGCTCCCAAACTCACATTGACTTTTTGGAACTCCATCTAAAACCCATTCCAAAGTTATGCTATTTTGATAAAAATTGCATTTTTGATAGAAAGTCATCATTCTCCCCCTGACTCTGGTCAGGACTGAGTAAGCTCCAACTACCTACACTTGTTGCTTACAGGGCAGAATATTGAGGGGTTTATTAAAAATCCAACATTTGCTTACTTGCAATGCTCCCCATACCCCTCCAGATCATGGTCAAGAGAAAAAATATCCTTTAATGACTGACCAGATGGACTGTCAGACTAGGCACACCACATGCTACAATAGTCACCACAGGGCTTACAGTATCAAGCACAAGACTTGGGAGCCAGCAAGTCTGGAGTTCTAAATTCTGACATTTCATTTACATGCCAAATGAAGAGGAACTGAGAATGGAGAATTCATTAAAGGCTGTAAAGCTCCTTGATGAATTCAGTCTCTTTTGTAAGGGAGCTCCACTGTATTCACTTTGCCTGCTAAAATGCAGTAGGAAGTGCTAAGCATTATTGTCAGTCCTGGATTTTTACTTTGAATAGTGATTTAACCAAAAAGATTACATTTTAAAAATGAGCAAGAGTCCAGAGTATGGAAACACAACTTAAAAAAAAGAAAGGAAAAAAACCCCTAAAAAACTTGCTAGAAGAGCTGTTCAATTCAGAATAGCAAGATGATTTTGGAGACAGCTTCAGGATACTATAAAATTCAAAGGGTCTAGAAGTGATTACCTTACATTCAGGAAAGTTGTTTTCCATACCATTTTTATAATGCCAAATGACCTACAAAGATATCTGTTTGTCTGTGTGAAATAAATAAATAAAATACATTCATATATACAGAGATACTCATGGAACATATTGTTATGTTTGTCCAAGGGCATTCAGAAATTAACAACTCCAGCCGCAAGTGTGGGAAGGTACTGCTAGGTTGGCAAGCACAGGCTATATTGTGAACATACAGTAAAACTGTGCACTGATTACTATTAGCAGATTCAGCAAAAAGTAGCTTTAGTTTCTTGTGGGCGCATTCAACATTCATACACATGAATATGCATACATATACAAAAATTGTTTGCCCATTTGCATAGCACATTCTTCTTGAGGCAATGCTTCAAAGCACTGGCAGCCACAGCTGCCATCTTTAAATGTGATTTAAACAGACCCTGGTCACTGGTGCTCTGTAAAAGATCCCATAAGCCTTGAAATCCTAACTAGAATCCTACTTCAGTAATTATGTGTTGCCAAACTACATTCCACAAGAAGTTTCAAGAGGAGCTCCTCTTCTGGTCTTTCTGAAAATGGTTTGATTGTGCTTCTGTCTTGGAACAAAGTCCTTTGTTCCTTTCCAGAGGCAAAAGAAATTATTCTGACACAGACGCCAACGGTGGCAAAAGGTACTATATTATATATAGCTAGGTATGTACTGCATAGTGCTGCATTCCTTCTGACTTCATTGGGAGTTAGGAGTGCTGGAAAACTACAAGCCTGAAGGCATCATTAATTCTTCAAAGGGATATCTGTAATTTTTTAAGGTTAGCATTTCAGACATTTCCTACATCAAACTGAAAAAACACCAAACAGATTTGACAGACAGATGAAACAGCGCAAGTGAGTGCAAGTCTGAGGCTAGAGAATTCACTCTGGGCCAGGCTCTGCCCCAGAACTGTATGTGCATACAAGTTGGATCAAAAGATGGCCCAGGGCTTACCTTTTGTAAAAGTGGAAGCGCTCAGTAAAAAGTAAGAACTGCCTCTCTCCCTTGAAGAAGAACTGTCTTGCTCTGGAGATGCTAGATTTTTTGGTGTATTCACAAGTGTATGTAAAATTCAGCTCTTCCTTCTTGAAGTAGTTGCGAAGACGGACATAGTCAAAATACGATGGAACGTAAATAAGGGTATGGGACATGACTGCATCGCGGTACTCAGGCAGCACTTTGTCAATAAAGAACTGGAACCTGAAGTAGGAAAATGCAAATCTATCTTAATCAAATGAATGTTCAGCCTTTCATCATATAAATGATCCTAAGAATAAAAAGGTTTTGATCAAACAAAACCTCTATTATTTTAGGTCACAATCAAGAAAGTCTTCAAGCCTGGAAATCTTAAGCCAGTTTGAAGAAGTTTAAATTCACAGCTATGGTAGTGAAACAATACCATCATACTACCTTCACCACAGCATCATTTTCTCTCTTTTAAAAGGGGAAGTGAGGACTCAGCAAAAGGAAGAAACCAGGGCTAGAATATGCAGCATCTAAACTGCATCAGAGGAACAACAAAAGCACACTTATTTTTGGGTTTTTTCCCCTCAATTAAACAGCATATAGACTCTGTGCTCTAGACAATCTGCTACATTCATAGATTTCATAGACCTTAGGGCTAGAAGGGACCTTGGAAGATCATGGAGTCCTGCCCCCTGCCCCCTGCCCCAGGGGCAGGAAATCAGCTAGGGTGGTCAAAGGATCCCAGCAAGATAAGCATCCAAATGTTTCTTAAAAAAAAGAGTCCACTAAACAAGCACCACATTTGACACTGCAAGCATGGGGACACAGCAAAAAGGTCGCAATGACAAGTTACCTTGCATCTATGACAGAAACTAGGCTATCAGATTCCAGCCTCCGGAAAACGTGGGGAAGCTGTACCACAACATGGTTAATCGAGCCAATCATGGGTACATTCCTTACAGCTACCTGCAAGAAGAAGTCAGGACGGTTAGGGGAGTAATGAAACAAAAACACTCTCTGCACTTAAAAAAGCATTCACATGCCAAGTCAAATTTTCAGTTAGTGACTCACATCTACAGACAACCAATAAGGCTGTTTGGAACAAGACAAAGTCCTACTGGAACACTGCTTGCATTTGCCTAGGCCACATCTGGTAACTACGTGACATGACTTCTAGGTTGATATGACAGCAGAAATAACTCACTGCTTATTTTATGCCTTTCCTTATGTTGAACAGCAAAAGTAGACCTTTCATTTTGTCACACCCACGGATTAGTCCAACTCTGCAGTGTTCAGGTTACAAACGAGAGGAAAAAAAGTGTATTTTGCAAACCAAAATTCCACTCAAGTGAATAAAACCAAAATCAGTATGGTTTGTAAAATGCAAAACCAAAAAAAAAAAAAAAACTTACTTGATTACAAGCTTTACAAAAAACTTTGTCCCATCAGATGTCCCTTTAATTAACACGTAAAATCAAAAACTGCAAGGGACAGACTGCTTCCTTCAGTCAACGAACAGGAAGCCATTAGAAAATGGTGCACAATGACATGAATTTAAAAATTGAAGTATACAGGCTACATAAACTATTAGCACCTGTGCAAACAATAAAAAAAGTGTCTACTGCTACTCTTCCCAGGCTGAAGATTAACTTAGCATATTCTTCATAGGTCTCGGGCTGTTACAGCTGGTTTGTGAACTTACCTGCCCTCGGTAATTGAAGCAATGTTTATTAAAGATAGAGTTAATCTGGGGATCTTGAAGAGCACTGAACAGTAAGGTCTGACGATAATACTTGGACCAGTTATTGAGATTCAGCATGCGCACTCGTGAGAAGTCTACACCATGGGGATTCAGAGGCAGGAGGTTAAGATGGTTCATCAGGTGCTTTTAAAAATGGAAAGAAAACAGGCACATAATTTTACACCTTGAACATATAGGCAGCAAGTAAGTTAATTGCACTATAAAGTAAGCAGAGGTGAACAAATCTGTCTACAATGTAATATATCCATGCCTCCCAAGAAATGGCTTTCTGCTTAGTCATCAAGTGAATAGTAGTTTACTGGCATTTTTTTCCTACAGGATTTAATCAGAAGTCAGTAGTTTCTTGGACTTAAGAAGCTGCAGTCTCATAATGGGAACAATTCAAGAGCCAGAATCAAGAGAAAATGGTAAATTCCCCTTTTCAAAAGTTGGGGTCATTTCCAGAACTTCTTTGCTGAAATCAAGAAAGCCCAAATGGAATGCCCTCTGCATTCAGTGAGAGCGCTCAAGTGGTCTTAGGTCTGGTGCCATCCCCTCTGTGCAATGTCTTACCAGGGAACTGTCAAAGGATTGTGCCCATGGGAAATACTTTTGATAGGTTTTCATTTTGATATTGTTTGATGTTGACACTCTTGCGCTGACACTGTTACAGAGCTTATATCTCATTAAATTACATAGTGAGATACTTTAGTAGAGTGTTTCAAATCAGCAGTCACACAGAAACCTTGTTTGCTTCTTTCTAAACACTGTCAACAATGCATATTCTCAACTCTGAAGAGACCCCTAAAATGTTTTACATAGTAACTTACTTCTTGATGGGCTGTCTTAATATCCCTGTGTTTGCCAACCCATGCCACCTAATTTCTGTCAGAGAGAAGGAAGTTTCCTTGCCAAGTTCATAACGGTTGCAAACAGATACAATCATAATTCCTTCAACTTATGTGCAGTATTGCTGTAAGCTGTTGTATGACATACTCCCTCCCAGAGGTGAGGAAAGGAATCTGTTCCTTTCCAGGAGTCAACTCTGTTGCAAGAGTCCTCAGAAAACTTCAGATGAAATGGGTTATGAAAATGAAAAGCACTAAGATTTAGAGAGCAACAGGACCAGCTAGTACTGAAAACTCTGAAGAAGTTATTCTTAGGAGATAAAAAAAATTCTTAGGCATGAGGCAAAGAAAGAGTTCGGACACTGTTTATTGTATGTGGCACAATATGCCAAAAGAGCAAGAGCAATATTTATGAAAACTTACCAAAATGTGCTCCCAATTCTGCATCAGGTAAATATCTGCTTGATCAATTATGAGAATTTCTATCGATGAAAGAAAGTCAAAATCCCTCTTCTTCTCTCCCTCGGCTCCAATAACTGTTCTCAGACCAAGGGGAGAGGCAATGATGATATCAGAAGAGTAAAATGGTGCATATAATCGCATACTCTTCTGAAGAACAGCAACCCCTGATCAACGACAACCAAAAATGTTTTCTTAGTAAGCATAACATGTTGGTATCTTGATCAGATTTCTTCCTTCCCAACCTCAAAGACTCATCTAAAGGGCGATGTTGGGCTTAAACCCTCTCCCGCTCCTCACTGAAAGAAACACAGATTTGGGGCACCATTTTTAGAATCCAGCCAATTTCAGTAAACTGTCTTGTTAGAAAGGCTAAAAAAATTTCCAGAAGAGTAAAAAAAAGGTTTTGAAATGAAAATGTTTCATTTTCATATTAGTTTTAACAACAATTTTTTAAAAGTTCAAAAGAACAACATTTTGTTTCATGAAATATTATTTTATTTATGTATACACTCTTTTCAAATTGGCCAGAAAATAAACAACCCCCCCTCCCCCAAAAATAAAATATCAATTATTCGCACAGCTCTGCCTCTTGCTAATTTCCTTCCGAGATTTCTTGCAATTCTTTTCTTCTTCCGTCTAAAGAAGACTGGATAGAGCATTGCTAGAGATGCACCAATACATCGGTCTAATATTGGATTGGTACCAATATAAAAAAAAGTTTGCTGTATCAGATATCAGCCCAATGGGGCTGATAATTTGGCCAATAAATGCCTGTGCTGCACACAGCCGCAGAGCAGCATGGAGCAAAGCCAGCAGCGTGAAGAGCTGCCTCCAGCTGGTAAAAAAATCAGAAGGGCAGTGGAGAGGGAAGGGATTTGGGGTGCACATCAATGACCCCTGCAGTGAGGTAGGGGGCAGAGGCAGGCACTGCCCGGGGGACAGGGACGCAGGATGGAGGCATGGCTCATTGGGGGGCTGGGATGGGACACGGCTCCCACCACTGCTTGTACCCTGGGAGGGCGAGGGGGGTGCCCAAGGCTGCTGAGTGGTCTGGAGCCAGCACTACATGGGGCTCTTCTCAATGAAGCCTGGGCTCGGAGCAGGCACTGGCAGTGCTGGGAGGGGCTGTAGCCATCCCAAATTTCACCACTGTTCTGCTCTCAGCCCCATGCCACCAGGCACAGCCTGGCTCCATATCCTGCCTCCACCCACATGCCGGGAAGAGACAAGGCTGCGCCAGGTGGCTGGTGAGTGGTGGTGAAACTTGGGGTGGCTGTAGCCTCCTCCCAGCACCCGCTACGAGCCCACCCCTACCGGAAGAGCCTTGGAGTGGGCACCGGTGGCACTGGGTGGGGGCTGCAGCGCATGGGTGGAGAAGGGACAGGGAGCCAGGCTACACCTGGCGGTGTGTGGCTGGGAGTGGAGCGGTGGCCAAATCTGGGGTGGCTACAGCTCCCTCCCAGCACCCCTGGTGTCCACTCCGAGCCCAGCCCCCACTGAGAAGTCATGCAATGCCAGTTCTAGCCCACCCACCCCGTGCACATCCGGGGGCACATCCCCTCCCCCCCAAGGGGTGCAAGCAGCAGTGGGAGCTGTGCCCTTCCCCCAGGAGCTGCATCTTCCTCCTGTGCCCCGTCCCACCTGGGCAGTGCCTGTCCCTGCCTCCTTCCTCCCTCACCGTGGTGGCATTGATCTGCCCCCAAATGCCCCTTCCCTTCTACCACAAGCGACTTACCACCTGGAGGCAGCTGTATCAGATCAGTATCAGCCAATATGCCTCCTTAAATATCAGCTATGGTATCAGCCCCCAAAATCTCTATTGGTGCACCCCTACCGTCTTCATACGGTCATCAGAGACATTACTAAAATACAAAGAAACCTTCTGTCAATCTTTTTCAAAGACAGAAGGAACAATTCTGCTCCCATTCCTATCAACAAGAATTTAAAGAAACTTCACTGACATCACTGGTCCATAAGCTGACTATAAGTCAGTGTGTTTTTGTTGGGAAAAAGAAAGCCTACAGACATCTGCCTCTGCATACTGGGTTATATCAACAGGAGTGTCACTTGCAAGTCAAGCAAAGCGATGCTTCCTCTATTCAGTACTGGTGAGGGCTCACTCAAAGTGCTGTGTGCAGTTTGGGCCCCCCCACTTCAAGAAGGATGTGGACAGATTGGAAAGCATCCAATGGAGAGCAGCAAAAATGAGTTAGGGGCCTAGGAAGCATAATATACAAAGACAGGCTGAAAGAGCTAGGATTATTTAGTCTGGAGAAAAGATGACTGAGGGGGAAGACTGTAACATTAATCTTCAAATACCAAAAAAGGGTAGTAAGAGAGAGGATGGAGACAGACTTTTCTGTAGCCACAAAGGGACAGGACTACAACTAACGGCTCAAGCAAAAGCAGAGGAAATTTAGAAAGTTTCTCCTAATCTCCAACCTATGAGGGTGGTCAAGCACTGGAGCAGGCCACCTAGAGAAGTTGTGGAATTTCCATCCTTGTAAATTTTCAAGAGCAGGTTAGACGGGTATTTGGCTGGGATGGTTTAATCAGAGACAATCCTGCGTTAAGCAGAGCACTGGACTAGATGACCTTACATAGTCCCTCCCAGTCTATGACAGTGATGAGGGTTGCCTCTTTATGCAGGCCTGTGTTTCTTCACAGGTGGTAGGTCAAACAGATTTTGGCCTGGGAAGAGAATGCCTTGGCTGCAGAAAGCAGCATAACTCTCAGTGGAACAGACGCACACAGGAACTGCTAGGGAATTGCCTATATTACCTGCTGTTATAAAACATCTGTGGATGGCAATTTATCTTTCAAGGGACAATAATTTTAAAAGCCTCTTATCTGTCAAGTTAAAACCACCTACTCATGATGGTAGCTCTAAGAAGCAAGCCATAACCTAATTCTCTACATACCAAGTTACCAAACCAGCATGAAATTACAATTTATGAAACAGTCCTGACATTTTCTGCTCAACCAACATTCACACTCCCCATCCATGCTTTTGCATGCACAAAAGCTCGGCTTGAATTATATGCAATGCAGTAGAAAATTACTTTACTCCTTAGTAAATTTCTAATTTTCTTCAGATTACTATGGTTCAGTAGCTTCAGCGTGAACAAAACTAATTTTGCCTAGAGCATAGGCCCAGATCCTATTCTGTCATTTAGATGTCTAAAAGCAGCTCTTTTGAGGCTTTTAGACATCTAAGGACAGTAAGTGTGGTCTTATTCTAGTCAATACAGCAGCTGCAGGACTGCCTCTATTTAACCATGAAGAGATGCCCAGGTACCTAGAGTTTGGTTATTACAAAAGCTCAAAGGCAAACCAGACCTCAAACTCCACCTAAGCTCTGCCATGATTCATTCCATCTGGGAAACACAAGGTCTCTGTAAATCCCAGTTCCTTAGCAGGGGAATAACCACACTGAGAGACTATTTGAAGCAGCGTTCATGCATGCAGCTCAGTGCTGATGCCAAGAACTAGATAAGAAGGACCCCTGTTGCCCAACAGCACTGTGGTCACACTACTACTGGAAGGCACCCCATGAAAGGGAAGGAGGGAGCCAGGGGTTCTGACCCCTGCTCACAAAGATATTTATGCATTTTGCATTACATAGTCATTGAATAACATACATCAAAAGCATTGGGAGCAGAGCCCAGGTCCCCCATTTCTTGGGCCAAGACTACTTCAGCAAAAGGCATATGCATCCTTCCTCTCTGCCCACTCCTGCTCCACTTTTACACTGAAGTCAGTGCTGCTGTCAGTCAAATGCACTGTTTCAGCAGATGTCTCCTCTCTGAGAGCTGGATCGCTACAGGACAGAGCAGAGAGAATAGGGAGAGCTGTGCACGTCCCTGTGGTGGAACTAGATCACTCTGAGACCAAACAACTGTTTTTGGAGGCAACCAGTTGGTAAATGGTCAGACTAGGAAGATTAGGATCCAGGCTTTAGTGGTTAGAGATGAAAAAGGTCAAATATATATATCAAGTCCTTCATCCTCTATGGCAAGGTGGACTTCCCCAGCTTCATTACAAGGTTTATTTTAAAAGGTTTTAAAAAGGTTTTAAATTATACTTGATCTGAGCCTGCAAGAGACCTTAACCAAAAACCTGAAGAACATTACATTTAAAATAATAAAACAGAAATGCACAAATTTCAACTCCAGCATGGTTTAAGGAGCCTAAGTCTCATTAGAAGTCAGTGGAACTTAGGCTTCAAAGAAATTTAGAAATAAGTTATAAACACTGCAGCCTGGTCTTGAAAGCTAAAATAAGTTCTCCGACATGCTATTACCTATCCTGAAATGGTCATCAATGTTGCCAGCAAACACAGCTTCATAATCCTCAGGTCTTTTCAGGTTGGGGGGTTTCTCATCTGGATCAGAACCAAACTCTCCTTTGAAGCGCTTCTTGTTACTTACATCTATTTGTTTTTTGCTCCCTGATTCAAGAAGGCTGATGAAAATCTGCACCACTCGTAAGGCTGATTCACGGAAAGGCACCACTATCAGTACCTGTGTGGACCAGAACAATTATAAAAAGGTTACTTTAGAAAAGGATGTCCTCTCTAGAGAAGGGACGGATCCACCATGAATAAACATATTTTTGCACTTCATTTTACGTACAGTGCTGCTGCTCTCACTTCCCAACCATTCAATTAGATGTAGGCGCCTCCCACAAATAAATTCCAAACCCGGCTATCATGCTTGCCAAATGACTGAACAGACAGGCTTGACCTAGTCTGACCCAAGACTAGGTCAGCAATGTGCTTTAAGGTGCCCTTTTACAGAAATAGGACTCCCTGCTAGCTGCCCTTGTTACCAAGTTAAGTATAAGCTACTCAGATGGAAAAAGGAAGTGTAATACAAAGCAATAAGGGCCCCTGGTAAATTCTGTTTTACCAGGGATTGGGGTGGCTGCTTTGGGACAAAGGTGTTACAAGTTAGCATATACCCCCAGTGCATCATGAAGATACGGAATTGGAGGATTTACCACCAGGGAGATACTTCTGTTCTCCTTGAGCAAATAAATCCTCCCCCACACACATACACCTGCCATTGAACTGTTTGGGTTTGCACTTGGGCCTAACTTTGGTTCTTGCAGAAGCTAAGGCACAAAGCACTCAAACTACTTACATATTAAACCTAAATAACATTGGCAAAGGGAAAAGCCAAAATGGGGAGTTTTAAAGAGATGCATGGCATATTCCAGAACTCTCATGACAGTTCAACTTTGGACCTTTTAAATGAAGCTACTTGCAAACTGAACGCATTATCCATCAATCAAGATTGTAAATCAATGGCAAGCTCCCTATTAAAAGGACAATTTGACAAGACAGCTAGCCCTGAATTAAGCCCCACTGCCACTGAAAGTGAAAAGCAGCTTTGCTTAAGCTTATTGGACTAGATCCACTATGTTCAATATAAGAGACTCCCTGCTGATTCTTAGCTGCCACAGTGATAGAACTATGCAATAAAAGCAAGGGAAATTTGCTACCAGGTTATATCTGGTGTGGTATAACAAGAGACTGAAGCACAGCATGACTTTCAGCTGCAACAGCCCTGAAGAAGCAAGGGAAGGAACTGGGGACTCATTAAATCTTGGAAGAAGAGCAATATGGAGCAGTCCCTACAGGGCACAGGAATGACAAACAATTCTCAGAAGCCGCCTGCACAGATGTTGATCTCCAAAAGCACAGGCAACATCAGTTTTAGGGAGGTAAACATGAAGGTCCTTACAGTATTGCTAGTGCAGAAGCAGTGGGATCAAAATAAGGAAGAGAAGAGAAATCAAATCTCATGAAGGCACAAGAAAAACTCTTCCAGACAAACAGCTCTCCATGGAATTAGTTTGACCACAAAACTTTCAAAGTTATCATTTCTCCTAGGCTACTTGCTCTTTCTTGTCAAACAGCTTCAAGACATGATTAATGGGTCTGGAGAGATAAGCCTGGGAGCATATTGACACCTTGGGGATAATGGCAGAAGAAACATCTGTATGGCATAACAAAATCAGACTGCAAAATATTATACTAATTAAGCCTTCTTACCTTTGGTCTAGTGAGCCCTTGATCCCTGAAATCATCAGTGTCAACTCCTAGCTTTTGGTCTCTTCGTTTGGCATTATTGCTGAGGACCTGGGCATTAGCCTTCAGGACATGATTCAGTGCATGCAGGCAGTAAGTCTGACGGATCTCTTCCCCACTCCCTAAAGGAGCTCTTTCAGGGTACAATAAGTCTTTGTACAAATTCATAATGCAAAACAGTTCCCTTTGTAACAAGGTGAACGGGGAGTCGCTTGGCTTATTTAGCATGGACAGGAGCTGGTTATTCACTTTTGGCCACGTGGAATCCAAGGGCTTGTGAAGATGAAGTCGTTCCAAATCCATTTCTTTATCTGGCTTAAAAGTTTTCAACTTCTGTGTTATAGAAGAAAACACCAACTGGCCCAGTGTTGGCCACTGAAAGAAAAGGAAAATCAAGTGTGTTGTAACCAACCATTTTGCAGGAAATGCCATGTTGCCATGACTGCTACTTTTAATAAGATAACAGATTAAGTTACTTTTTGTTTAACCCAATGAAGTGATGGATAGAGCAAAGATGAAACAGCCAGGTGCAAATTAAATAAAGCTCTAGCTTTTTCTAGCTTCTTGCCATTAAAGTTACCACAAATTTGGATTCCTTTGTACTAGCATCCAATTTCCCCAATATATTTTATACATCACTTTACACATCACCTGTGCCTTGGTCCATACTTGCCTTGAGCCTTTCTACAATAACAACAAAAAAATCACGGTCTACTGTTAGGCCCCCTCTACACATCACTGTTTCCCTCGCTTTATGCTGTACATGTGTTCTTGGAAAATGCTGCATAACTCTTTACAATGTAACAAATAGGGATACGTTCCAAGACCGAGTGTACTGACCCCCAGGCCCATTTCTACCACTTTTACAAGATAACTTTGGTACTCAACAACAGTAGACAGTACACACAAGCACACGTTTAAAGATGTGAAGGCTGAGGGGAGGGGGGGAAAAAAACCCAGAAAAAAATTTGGGGAAAAAAAATTCCCCCCCACACCCCACCCCAAGGGCTTTTGGGGTTTTTTTCTGAAAAATTGAAAATTTTTGGAAAAATAAAAAAAATCCTCTTCTGAAATATTTTCTTTAAGAATGATGAATAGAACGTTTAAGACAAGATGTTCATATATTGCTACATTTTACTCCCCCAAAATGTTTTCTAATAACTATGTAATAGGAAGACTTTTATGTAAGACTATCTACTATAGTCATTACAATTCCCGTACACCAAGGACAACCAGTACAGTACAACTCCCAAATGCGAGAGCAAAATGCATTTTTGCCCCCAGGGGGGCACTGCCATTTTCACAAGAGAAGGAAGAAGGATTCAGTGCCTTCTTTGCTTGTGGACTTCCTCTGTTGTTGACTTCTGATCTAGAGGTTGGTGGATCTGCTCCTATCCTCCTGCCTAGCCTCAAAGGACTGGGAGTGGACACTGGCAGAAGCATCCATTCATTTCTGTAGAGATTAGAAACAAGAAGCTTATGGCCCTTGTTGCTCAAAAGCCTCCAGAAAGGAGGCAGAGCAAGTCTAAAAGGTTTTGGAGTTGGAAGGAACCTGCCTCCTCCTGGCCCTGTGACCTTGAGATCCACAGAAGTACAGAAGCAGCACAAAGGAGCTGAAAGAAAGTATACTTCTTTATTGAAAGGTTAGAGTTTAAATTTCTCTGAATTCAGTATATTAAATCATATTTTAGCTTCATTAGTATATTTTCATAACCTATGTAATTCATAATTGAATTCTGATGTTTTGTATCAAATCACTCAACCTTAGCAGTGAGGCGAGGCCTGCAGGGCAGGGAAGTTGTTCACAGCTAACTTGGTGGAGGCCTCTCCTCCACCCATTAAGCTACAGCCTGTACAAAATTTAGTAGTGTTTATATATGCAAGCTAGCCACTAAATTACATTTTTCTTTTTTAGCTCTCAGTAAAATGGTGTGACTAACTTCCAGCATATGGAAGCATTTCCACACTGCAAGTTATTCTGAGGGGGAAAAAAAAATGCAATTTACAAATACTGTCAAATGAAACATGCATTTCCAAATGCTACTACGATGACCAAACACATCCTTGTATGTAAAAAGTGTCCTGCAGACATTAAAAAAATCCTTCATGGGTGTAAGTGAGGAGGAGGTAAACCATGATGATGAAAGTGCAAGTAGTTCTTTCCAATGTTCTCAGTCCAGAAGTTCTCCTACTGCTGCTTCTTTTATAACATCAGCATCACAAAGGGTTGCCCAATCAACACCCTCAAGTAATTAAATATTGCAACCACCTGTATACTAAAGGCTCTCAGTAGCTTCATTTATAGACAAGATGACACCTAAATATTGGGGGGGGGGGGGGGAAAATCGACCAAGCTCTTGCAAGAGCAATATATTCTTCTGGGACACCGTTGTCAATAACTGAAAATACACAGTTTCATAGTTTCTAGGGTTGGAAGAGACCTGAGTAGAACATCTAGTTCGACCCCCTGCCATGGCAGGAAAGAGTACTGGGGTTAAACGACCCCAGCAAGGCATACTGGCAGGAAGCTTTTAAAACTAAGTTCATCAGGAGATGGGGATGGGGCTTTAAACTAAGTTTGTCGGGGGATGGGGATCCACAGGAGCAAGATGTGGATTACTTCTTATTCAAGATGTATCCAGGATTGGATCTCGCCAATTCTCTTACTATGCAGTGCATCATTGACTAAATGCCTGAGTTCACTGAAGTTGGCCTTCCTGAAGTCTAGCACTTCCACCCTACTAGTTACCTTACCCACTCTACACCTTACGATGAATTCTATTATTTGGTGGTCACTGTCCCCCAGGTGACCACTGATCTGTAGGTCCCCTACCATGTCATCCCCTGTTGCCAATACCAGGTCCAGTAAGGCATTCCCCCTAGTGGGACCATGTACCTCCTGCGTCAGGTGGAGGTCCTGTACACGGGATAGGAACCTGTATGAATGGTGGGAATTTGCTGTCTGCATCTCCCAGCAGATTTCAGGGTAGTTTAGGTCCCTCGTGACTACCGCCTCCCTAGTCTTTATGGTCTCCGACAGCTGCCTCAGGAGTTCCAATTCTACTTCTTCCCCTTGGTGTGGGGGTTTGCAGCAGGGAGAGGAGGATCCAGGTAGTGGACCAAAGACTGCAGCACTGGTGTCATCAGGAAGGCTTTGGCTTCCATGACTACAGCCTGCTCTTTGGCAAGAGAGGCAACAAGCTGCTGGAAAGAGATGGCCTCCACTTCTCTCCGCTGGAGAGAAGGCTCTTCTCAGCCAGACTGGCTGACCAGCTCCACCAGGCTTTAAACTAAGCCTGCTGGGGGACAGAGGGACTATCACCACTGCTGGCTCGCTGAGCAACCCTTCAAAACCAGCAGGCCAAGGCACTTAAGGGAGCCCACCCCTGCCCCAGCCCTGGTACAACCTGTGGGCAAGGCAAGAGCTCTCAAGGGGACACTTGCCTGCCTGTACATGAATGCCAGAAGCTTGGGGAATAAGCAGAAGGAACTTGTCCTCCTGCTTAACACAAATAATTACGATGTCACAGGGATAACAGAGACCTGGTGGGACTCCACCCATGACTGGACCATGGGTATAGATGGCTATACCCCGTACAGGAGAGACTGAGTAGATACAAGGGCAGGGGTGTAACTCTCTATGTTAAGGATAGATACACGTCCTTGCAAACTGATGTTGGCAACCAGGGTGGACAACTGGAGATCCTCTGGGTTAAAATCCGT